TTACCGATTCGAATCGGACCCACACCGTTCTTGAGGTCGGCCATATGGGATCCGCCATCTTGAATTTTGCCAATCCGACGTCAGATTCACGATCGATGGCCCATTTGACTTGAGATTCGAGATCAGCGACCCAAAAAACTCCCATATACTGATTTTGTTCGGATCCGTGTTTTTTTTTTTAATTCTCATCGGTCATATTGGATCCGCCATTTGAATTCTGCCAATCCGACGTCAGTCATGATCAGCGACCCAAAAAATAACCCTATACCGGATTTGGTTAAGATCCGTGGGATTTCGGAAAATAATGACTTGTGGTAGGTTTTTTGAGGTTAGAAAAATTCTGATAGATAGAAATTCTCATGGGTGTTTTGAGTTTATCAGGTCCATTTATATTAGATTATTTATATTCATGGGATTTTTTTTAGTTTTTTCCTACTACATTTTCCTGAATTTTTACGGATTTTCACCAAGTTTTTGAGATTAGAAAAAAATGAGATGTGTTAGCGTAGTTCTGATAGCGGATTCGTGATCAGCGTCGAAAAATACTATAGGATATGATGGTCTTGTAAAAAGCATAGACCACTTTTTTGTATAAGGAATAATGTAATTGTGAATGTTTTTGTGGTTATTCCGAGGGTTATTCCATCATAATGACATGTATTAACTGATTTTTACCAACAGACCTATTTTACGTAAAACATGACTGTAGTGTAATCTCTCAATAGTGTAATACCAGCACGGGCGAAAAGTTGTTACTTTTCAAAACAGTTAGGAAACACTAAGTGGTATCAGCTCTGTCACGTTGGAACCCGCTTTATAGTAAACTTTTCGATTTTTGCCTTATTATCAACTACAAACGATGCAAATGATTGTAGTAAATTCAATTTTTTTGTAGTACTAATAATTAGCCAGAAAAAGTAAACAATTGTGCGCAATGTAATAAAGAATAAAAATATTATTTTAACAAATGTCTAAAAATCTTCAAAATCGTTTGTAGTTTGTATACAACTAAAAACATTATGTCAAATTATGTTAATTTCCAAATTTTACTATAATTCTCTAATTTCAAGAAACTTTCGTTGAGTTTTTTTGCTACTACATAAAACTACAAACGATTTTGAAGATTTTTAGACATTTGTTAAAACAATATTTTTATTCCTTATTACATTGCGCACAATTGTTTACTTTTTCTGGATAATTATTAGTACTACAAAAAAATTGAATTTACTACAATCAATTGCATTGTTTGTAGTTTGTATACAACTAAAAACATTATGTCAAACTATGTTAATTTCCAAATTTTACTATAATTCTCTAATTTCAAGAAACTTTCGATGAGTTTTTTTGCTACTACATAAAACTAGAAACGATTTTGAAGATTTTTATACATTTGTTAAAACAATATTTTTATTCTTTATTACATTGCGCACAATTGTTTACTTTTTCTGGCTAATTATTAGTACTACGAAAAAATTGAATTTACTACAATCAATTGCATCGTTTGTAGTTTGTATACAACTAAAAACATTATGTCAAACTATGTTAATTTCCAAATTTTACTATAATTCTCTAATTTCAAGTAACTTTCGTTGAGTTTTTTTGCTACTACATAAAACTACAAACGATTTTGAAGATTTTTAGACATTTGTTAAAACAATATTTTTATTCTTTATTACATTGCGCACAATTGTTTACTTTTTCTGGCTAATTATTAGTACTACAAAAAAATTGAATTTACTACAATCAATTGCATCGTTTGTAGTTGATAATAAGCCAAAAATCGAAAAGTTTACTATAAAGCGGGTTCCAACGTGACAGAGCTAGTGGCATCCCCTAAAAGTGGGATTCTTACTAACACTGACATACCAATTTTCATACAAATATCGATGTTATTTCAGAAAGTATTTGAAAAAAGATAGATAAAAAGGAATTCTTCTATGAAGGTTCTCGATTAGAATTGTGACTACCCTGTAAATTGAATCACTATTAATTTTTTATTTTTTTGCAAAATTTGGGAAAACACTGTTTGCAATAAATTAACAAACTAATTTTCAACCAATAAACCAATTTTGAACCAACCCAAACCAAACGGAACCAATAAGTAACTTTTTATGTTACATTTATTTGCTTGAATTGTTCAAAACACATGGGCGAATTAACTAATTCTGTAATATTCGATAGGTTTCGATTTTGTACGAATATGGGATTATTGTTGTTACATATTCGCTGGCAATAGTTTCGAAGCAACTTTTTTTAATAATTTTTATTTAAAAAATTATAGGGGTGAAGGATAAGTAAATAAAACTCTCGTTATTTTTTTAAATTATTATGTATGAAAAATAAAATGTAAATACAAATTTTAAAAAATGCAAGAATTTTCCATGCTGGTCTAAAGCTTCATTCAGAACCTCAAAATTAGTGGAATAAATCAATGGTTTCAATTAGCGTAGAAGTTTGTTCCTCTAATATGCACAACGTCAAAATTAGTGGTAGTAATATTCAATTAGTGGAAAAAGTTGACAAACTTTTGACTTTTCCACAAATTATACTTCAAAATTTGCCAGGAATGTCATTTTGGTCTTTGATTATCATCCGTCAAGAGAAATTGTGGTTAGAAATCACAAGTTTATTGTTTTATTAGCTAAATATTAAGCTTTCTCTATGGATACAACTGACTACCGCAAGCTGTTATTCTATTAATTTTAATTGTTTTTTAAGATATTGTGAATGATCGTAAACTAAAAAATATAAAGTGTAATTGAAACTACTAATTTATTCCACTAATTGCGAGGTTGTGAATGAAGCTTTAGTCTTGCGTCAGTCTTGCACTGGTGGGTCTTGGTCTTGCAGAAAAAATCTAGTCTTGGTCTTGGTTTTAATCTTACTTTTTGTGCAAGGTCAAGACCAAGACCAAGACCAGTCTCGCTCATCACTAGTGGTAATACTATATGGAGGTCAGAGCACAGTTGTTTTTGAAAGTAACAAAATTTACGACCTGGGGCCTGTAACACAAGACCTACAAGTGCCACACTTGTACGCTTTTGGATAGAGACTTGTAAAGTTTCGTAACACACAGCAACTTGTACTTACCTGTGTAGGACTTATAATTACGGAAAATATTTTACAATTGTAGTTCTGTTCTAAATTTTAACCATGCTTAAAAGGTGGGTACAAAATTCTACAAGAATCAGTTTAGAAGAAGTTGTTGCTTTGTATTTTTTTTTTGCAAAACACTCTATTATTATAACACTAATAAAACAGATACGCGATTAGACGCTTTCTATTTTTGTAATTTTGAGAATCTGTTTTAATCCAAAATACAACATAAAACACTTACCACTGCACTCTTCTTTAGATTTTGCCAAAGGGTATCTCTGGCGTATGTCCAATCTTTCTCTAAGGGCGTTAAGCATATGCTTTGAGCAAGAGAAGCTAACTCTTTCCATTGCTTCACCTTGTCTTCTTTTCGAAGGGTATCCGAGAATGCCTCAAAGAGAACCTCTATATTTTCTTTAATTTGCATAATCCATTACATTTTTCTAGCAAACACCACTTGTTTCGAAGACATTTTTACCAGTAACTACCAAAATTAATTTTAGAACGAACTTGTCTAAACAAGCTATCTAGGGCGTCTGTCCTACAACTCTTGTGCACTTTAGTTACACTTGACACTTGTTAGAAATATTCGCCGTTATTACAAGTCATTTTGAGAACTTTGTGTTACAGAAATTAACAGGAATTGTAGCTACAAGTAAATCTTCAACAAGTTCTACACTTGTTACAGTTGTAGATTTTGTGTTACAGGCCCCTGGGGCCTATAACACAATGCTTACAATAATTGTAACAAGTTTACAAGTTATTAGTAATTTGCTTATACCTACAAGTACCTCGGTATCCTGTAACACTATATCATTTGGTACACTTGTAGCTACCAGTAAAATATTCTACACGTGTATATGCCGTTGCTATATGCCGTATTCAAAATCGAGGCGCCAAAGCAAAGTTTTCCTTTCTACGAAATAGTGAAGTGTTACGAAGTACACGAGCATCGTGCACACTTCCTGGCCAATTTGCACTTATATAGTAAAAGTTTAGGTCAGGACAACATACAGGCCATGCAATTAATTGCATGCTTTCCATAGTGGTCGACGTAAGCAGGTTTGTTATTCGTGGGGGCATCGATATTTATGATGGTTCCATCTACATCTCCACAAACTTCAGAAAGTCCTGCAAAATTATGAAAGCGTTCTATCAGCTGCTCTGTATTGTCGGGCCGTCGAATTACGGCATTAAATTTTATTTCGTTTACAGCAGCAACAACTTCGTGAACACATCTGCAGACGGTAAATTTTGACACACCATGCATGTCACATACCCCGTGGTATTGCTCTCCGTTCCCAAGCCAATGTAGAGCAATAATCAGTTTCTGCAATGGTGACAAGCCATACCATCGAATCGTTTGATTCGCAATTGCTGGGCCTATGCCTTGAAGAAGAACTTCAAACTTTTCTCGATTGAGTCGGAACCTCTCCACAAATTTCCAGTCTGTCAACATGACATAGTTAGGTCTTTCCCGATACCGATACACTGCACGAGCATTTTCATCATCACTCTCCGAATCACTTGACCACATAATTATCGACAGTAAAGTAAAATGACACGTTCATGGCAAAGGACCGGTACTATACTGAACCTACCCAGAGTTCGAGATAGGTAGAAAATTGTTTACAATTGTTGACAGTTCCGTAACACAACTGTATACGTGTGACTATTGTGTTATGGAAACAAACTACAAGTGTAAAAAAGTTCCGTAATTACCAGTGCCGCACGGGTAGTTACAAGATCAGTTGTATTATGAAAAAGCTACAACTGCCGAATATATTTTAACAAGTGTAGGACTTGTACTGCTTGTGTTACAGGCCCCAGGTTAAGATATTATAATTAACAGTTGTAAAATTTCTATCGTTATCTGTATTATTAATGACGCTGTATTGTTTCAGATTTCCGACGATGATCGTATGTCGTTAACAACGGCGGTGTCCGACGAAGACGATGGCGAAAGCGTTATGAACTCGCCGTACAAAGCCAAACAAACTGGTACAGCGGCCGCATCGTTCAATTGTACGGGCGCGGTGAGGAAAGCCGGGTAAGTTCGCCTGCCTCTATGAATTAAGCCGCTTGTCATAAGCACTAATTTCATTAACGCCACTACATCGGAGCGAATGCGACGTTTATTTCCATAGACGCATTATGGGCATTGTCTATATCTTTGTCGGGCGGCCTTTAGTACGAACACGCGACAAAATGTATAGAGGATGCGAGAAGAAAGGGTTGTACTTGTTATTGTCTGAAGATTTTTTTCTGGGTATCTGTACTAATTAGTCTGGCTAGAACCTAAGAACGATAGAAAAACAAGATCTACACTCAGATACAAAAAAACGCAACGGAGAAATTTTTGGTCAAAATTAATCTGTTATATTTTTGTTATTTTTAGCCATATTTTCATGATTTTTTTAGCAACCTGTATGTAATTATATCAACCTTAATTTGTAAACTCAGTTTTTTTATAAACTTTAGTATTTGGCATATATTTTTTAAGAAAAAACTAGTTTTATAAAAAGTTGATTACTTTCTTACTTTTGGGACACCCTGTATAATAAATTTTTTCTCATTTTTGATGCTTCTAGGCTCATACGTTTTTGGAAACTAGTTAAGGTGTGCCTTTAACCTGAATCTGCGAAAATATGATTTTACATAAGTGCGTTAATATTGTAACACCCTGTATAAACCATTCTCTATGGGCTAATAATTGTTAATTTTTTCATATTTTGTATTGATTTTGTGATTTTAACACTAATTCATAATAAATAATACTCAATAATATCTATGAGCAAAATAATTTTTCCATAAAATAGGGTCCGCTGGCCCTCTGTGCGTCGCTGAAAAACTGTAGATTTGGTAACGTCGGCGTCGTCGTCACGGATATCACTCACACAATCCGTCGTCATTTCGAACTTGAATCAATTTTTTAAAAAATTGGATGTGTAATTCGTCAGATATTCAATGCGTTCCAGACTTTTGTTATACTCTGTATAATTGGTTAGTTTGTGTTTGGATTTGTTGCTCATTCACATTTTCATCTTTAGCAGAAATAAATAATATACAGGTAAATTTAATAAGTTTGACTAGCGAATTTATGTGTTTTTATGGAAGCCGATATATTGATGGTTCCTACTTCAACTTTATGATAGAAACTATATACATTTTTACACCCTGTAATCTTTGTCCCTTCACTTTAGAACACGTACAGAGAACTTAATGTTATACTAATTTATCACTAACTCAAACAAAATAATAATAATTAATTAATTGTTGTTCCAGAAATATATAGAAATTGCCATCAGTTTTCATCACAAAAGAGCAATAACCTTAGGTCCCATAGACAAATAAAAATTATTATTTTTTGACATAGACTAAGACATTACGTTGCCTCTAAATGTTTTAAAGTAAATAGACAAAGATTACAGGGTAAAGAAAAATATAAATTTTCTATAAAAAAAAAGATTTTTAAAAATTTTAAAAAATTTTTTTTTGCTGAGATGGTAGTTTTCCTAAACCTGTTATAAATTTCAGCCCTATCACTGCAATACAAGAAGCTCTTAGATGGGACTGAAAATTTGGCACGTAAAATCTTATAACCCGCGATAAAAAAACGCACTGCACCTATACTCTATTATTATACATATACGAGTAATAAAAAAGCTCCACTACTTCACTAAGTAGGTACTTACCTTTTTTATTTTTCACTTGTTTTATTAAAGATATACCCTTGTTTGTAATTCTTGTATCACTAATTGAAACACACTTTCATTTTCCAATACACAGGTTTTTCGGTTTATTTTAACATACCCAACACTTCTTACCTTTATTTTTGGTTGTTTTATTTAACACGTACCTATCGTCGGAAACGAACAAAATAAAATTAAATATAATATTCATGAAATATAACACACACCCTATTAGCTTCACGGCTTATACAATCGAATAAATCACATAATATTTCTATCACCTACATACTTGACTTAAAACTCAAAAAGTACTCACCAATATCTTAAACCTAACAGATTTTAATTAATTTTCAACACTTTTAACACTTCGAAGCATATTTTAACATTATGGATCATTTTATTTACGACCTCTACCTCATTTCGGTCTTCGAAATGCCTTGCCCTATTCCATATTCCTAACGACGGCTAAACTATCGACGTGTTGACAGGCAGGTTATCGAACCCATTTCGGCTCTAGCATGTCCTTTTTTCAAAGATGGGTCCCATATAAACGCGGCCAGAAGTATTTTCAATACTAAAAATCATCACGATCCACTCACTTAAAATATTTTCCTTAAATACATCTTTAGGTTTGCACTTCAACAAAATGCTCAAGTTTTTTTATTATAGCAGCTACAGATGCCCGACGCACTATTGGCGTAACCTGTATATTATTACATTAATTTCATAAACCCAACAGTAATATAAGGCGGTGATATACTAAGTCCATTAATAAGATAAGGAATTAGTAATATATAGGGTGACCGATTATTCTGAAATATTCCCATATCCGGGTTCCTATTTCAAATTTGCAGGCATACCTATAAAGCCGCATAGAGACCAAATTTCAATGCAAACCAACGCCAACTACTCAGCTTTGGGATTGGTTAAAATATAACAAATTGTTGTCGTCCATATCGGATTTAGTTTCAAATTGGAAGATGTTGGTTACGGTTCGGTCATTTTGCGCGGCTAAAGTGTAATTTTATCGTCTCCTATAATGTCATCAAGTGATGAGGATTTATATACAAGCGCTGACTTTTTGGTTGTAAATTCTTTACTTAAAAACAATTTACAACCTTACTTCTCTCCCCATTCCAGAATATGTGGTACGTTCCCGTCGCAATTCTCGACTGTGTAATGTAAGAAAACTCTATTTCAGGTCACTTCGCAAGCAACTTCATTTTCAACACTTGGCCAAATGTCAATCTTTTTTTGTAAGTTTATAATTTATATTGTTAGGATACCATAGTAATGGAATTATTCCGATATAGTTATATTCATTTTATGAACAAGAGAGAAATAGTGAGGGAAATGTATAAAAAATAAGGAAAATATTAAACGGCTCAGCCCTCAACAACTCGCAACCGTATGTGAGGCCTGAAGGCAGTAACACCAGTATACACTAGTGTAGACACGCACACTCACACTCTCACACTCTCACACAAACACACCTACACTAGTGTACACTGATGTTACTGCCTTCAGGCCTCATCAGTACTATAAGGAATCAGGAAGCAATGAAACCGATCCCAAAACACAAAGAAACAGGAAGCAAACGATTCAACGAGGCACCGGGTTGCACAGGAGATGGAAAAAATGATGAAAAAAAGAAAATCAATGATGGAAAATAAAAGGAGCAAACGGGAGCCTAAAGCCCCAATTTGCAGCCCAGAACTAGAGCCAGAGGTAGCCAACAGCAACCCGCCTTAGGGTTTTAGGCTCCCGTTTGCTCCTTTTATTTTCCATCATTGATAGATTTATTTTCCATTCCATAGATTTATTTTCCATTGCATCGTTTGCTTCCTGGTTTTTGTGTTTTCGGATCGGTTTCAACGCTTCCTGATTCCTTACCGTACTGATGAGGCCTGAAGGCAGTAACATCAGTGTATACTAGTGTTTGTGTGAAAGTGTGAGTGTGCGTGTCTGCACTGGTGTATACGGTTGCGAGTTGTTGAGGGCTGAACCGTTTAATCTTTTCCTTATTTTTTATATTAATTTTAGACATAAATCTTTGTCCCACTCCATATTAAAATTCAAAAAATGTCAGTCAAAAACGACGTGTCATACCAGCCAATGTTTAAAAACGACTGAAAATGTTAGAATCTCGTCCACACCGAATCAAACATCTCTTTGATGTACCGATAAGCCACCGAACCCTGACCAACGCCAACGGTCGGTCGCCTTGGAAAGCGTTGGAATGCATTGGAGCGCGTTTGCCCCTGCCGTACGCACCGGTTCCAACGCATTCAAATATCTGTCCACATAATATGCCTTGGAATAGAAGTGTCTAGCCCTAGCAGGCAACTATTAAGGTTGACCAATCAGGTTGGTTAGCGTGGTTATTTGGAGGGTGTTAATTCATTTGTGTTTGGTCAAAAAGTCTAACGTGATTGGTCGGGCTTAATAGTTGCCTGCTGGGGCTAGACACAAGTCCTTGAAATGCATTGGACCGCCGCCGCCGGTCTCTACGCGACTTTGGTAGTGATGAGTAAATGTAAGACCAAGACTGCCTTCGTCTTCGATTCGTGGTCGTCTTGATCTTATAAAACAAATAAGATCTTTCCTTGGCAGAGAGAATTTTGTTGTTTGGTGTTACAGCAAAATAAAACACTCTTTCGCAACAATATGCACCAAAACACTTTTCTTTTGCTCTCTTAATTTATTGATACATAATCCGTGAAATACAAAATACTTTTTTCCGCTTCATGCAAATTACACGAAAAACATTTTTTCTATCTATACGTCTCCTTGTGATATTAAAATTTTTCAAGTAAGAAAATAATGAGTTTAACAAAACGATTTTTCGACTATTTTAAAATTAAAATACGGAATAATGTTTACTTTATTATTCTGTCGTTGTTGATTGTCAGTTTTCACGTAATATATAATATCTTATTAGAGAGGGATATTCTTATTAGAGATCGATGAGTTATTGATTATGATTCTTGCGTACAATATTATAAAAACTGCACTTCAACAACATGTAACAATATAAAAAATATAAGTATAAACAAACTGTAGCAAGCATATATGTTATATAATTTCCACGTTTCCAAACCATAAAGGGTTATCGACAGGAATTTTTTAATTTAATAAATTCGGCCCCGCCCTTCCGCCGACAGCGCCCCTGTTTGTAAGTAGGACATATCAAGTAAAACCCGTAAAACAGCTGAAACTGCAGACCACAGAATGTTATAGTTTTGAAATAATATGGTTTACTAGTTTCAAAATGTTTTTAAGTTGATACAATTCATTTTTATTTATAATTTAAAGAAAAAAATTGCTTTAACGAAGATTCTAAGTAAATATTATCAGT